CTAATATTCCCATGTTTTCAGCTTGACTTCACGGAGCGTCGTTTCATTGCACTAGAGCGGTCGGTCGGGAGTCCTCAGCCTCGTTCTTCTCAATCTGTGCATTGGGCCGCAGTTTCCAGGCGCCCCTTCCATTCACCAGCCCTCCGACAGGACGGGGGGCGCCTAAAAACAGGGGCCGCGTCTCAGCCAATCACAGCCTTTGTTTTCCTACGGGACTCCATTTTGATTGGCCATTATTTCACGTAATTGGAAAAGGTGCTCCGGCTAATTTATTTCATTTCTATTTTGTATTATATTTTATTTGTTTACGTTTAAATAAATGTTCTCAAATGTACATTTTCAATATGATCTAATAATATAGGCTATATTCTACTCTGTTAAATCATGTTATATTTATTTATTATTTATTTTTATGTATTTATTATTATTATTATTATATATATATATATATATATTTTATTTATTTATGAAATTGCTGTGTTCCCTATAATGACTCAAACGACTATAGCCAAAACCTGCAAACCATTAGTTGACATTTATAAATGAATTATTTAGTTAGCAAGAGTTATAATTTTTTTTTTTTTTTTGCATGGATTATATTTTACAAGCAGTAGTCTAATGACATTTCCAACTGAGCACGCTTAACTTGCAAACTAAAATAATTTATTGTCTCCCCAGGGAGTAATATTCCTACATTAGTTTAACAACTATTTACACAAGGTCAGACAGCAACGCAACAAGATTGCACAATATGGGGGTAAAACAGGATATTAAAACATTAGGGTATTTTAAATATTAACTGTATTTATTTAGAATTTTAAAGACCCAAAACTACACAGTTTGAAACAGCCCTCTTGCGACATCAAAACCCCACTTAGTTGAGTTTGCTTCTGTACACAGTGGGCTTGTTCAAATCTTTCTTCACACTCTCCATCTCGGTGAGCAGCTGTAAAGTTATTTCTATCTCCTCTGAGAATCCCCACACACAGGGTCTCAGTGTGGATGAACAGCAGTATTTGGGCACATCATGAAAATAACCTCATGAAGCCCCCACTGGATCTTTGCTCCTTGATCACTCATCCACGGCAAGTGCCTGCTGCTGCCGACTACTTAAAAGATCTCATTCCAAACATACTCTGCCTATAAAGCTATTTCCTACTAGACACTCAGAGCATGGCAGAGACACCAGACAGTATTTTGAGGTCAATGTGTGGTATGTTTATCTGGTCATTTTTATTTGGGCCTACTGTATTTCAGATTTATAGTGGGCTGATAAAACAATATGGTGTACGTTTTTGAACTGAGAGCTGCTGCAATAATAAGACATTTTAATATAACTATGTAATTAATCCAATATCTAATCATCAATGATCTGATAGGTCTTTTTTCATTTCAGATGTCTACAGCTAATCCTCTATTAATGTGGTTGGGAGCAGAGTTCAGTGTTCTTTGGAGGAATAAATCAAAAACTTTAATTTATGACTTTAGAACATATTTAACCTTTATTAAATACATTTTTCATGATTATCAGTGTGTGAATTTGAGATTAGAAGTCATACATTCTATAATTAGGCCAATTGTGAGAGATGCTACTTTTGATCCAGATTTTATTTGAAATTAATCCTAAATCTTGGTGACCATTCAAATTTGCGATGAACGTTGCAGTGATGGTATCCAGGCCAACTCAGCTTTTGGTGGTCTTGGTCTAGTTCCTAAACACGTTTGTGTAAAGTGCATTTCTCATCAAAATGACTCAAACATTGCCAGTGTATTTCAGATTAGCTATAGCTTTAAAGAATCATATAAATTCTTTCTGTCAGGTCATAGTGGAAAATATTATCTTAGATGCTTTTCTGGTCTTGGCCTAGTTTATCTTAGTTTCAATTCAGGGAGGAATGCCCAGACATCCTTTTGAGTCTAAAAGTATACAGTACATTCTTCTGTCAATTATTCAACGTGGAAAGTTATTTGCATGAGAGGATTAGAAAATTAGAGAAAATAAGAGATTTTAAGGAGGACCAAATTTGGCATTTGCTGGTTTGGTGAGCTCTTGCCAAAAGACTATAGTACACTCCTTGTAAAGTATGTTTTGAATTCAAATATCTTTCATTTTATATCAACAAAAGGATCAGACGATTAGATAAAAAGCAGTGAATTCAGCTTGGGCCAACTGTGAAAGGTGTTGGCTGTTGTTGGTGGTCTTCTTTGCTGCATTTGGTGTGTTTCAGGCTTGAATGGGGGAAAAAGCGGGTGGGGGTAGTTTTAGTGGGGGAAGGGAGAGGAAGGAGTAAGAAGGTCGAAGAGGGCAGAGGCAGAAACATAAGGAGAAAGAACAGGAAGGAAAGCTAGGAACAGGCAAAAGTGAAAAAAAAAAAGTTCCTTGCTAGTTTGGTCTGTAAAATGTGAACCCAAAAACCCACTGTGGCTGCCAAAAAGCAAAAACTGGGTCATTGTCCTTTAGTATCACATGTAACTTCAATACTTGTTTGAAGTGAAACTAATTACAACCATTGATCATTATGTCCCCATAGGCTACCACTGAAACCTATAGATAAACTTTAAAGTATAGTAGAGTTCAAAGTGGAGACAATATACTGTATACAATTTTATACATGTTAGTTCAATAATTTACTGTTAAAATCAACATTATCTAATCTAAATCAGTTAAACTACATATTATCTTAACACAAGCAGCCTAAAATTTGCACAGATAAACCAACCTTTTGGCTCATGTTATCTATAGGCCTATCTACCCATTAATTATTATCAGTAAAGCTTCACACAGATTTGTAAAGCATGCAATAGTCACAGTGCTTTTAACATAAGGCTCACAAAATTATAGACGGGATGCTATTATTAGGACTATCTAAAATCCTGGTCAGTAGCTCTTAAGTAGATTAGAAGTTGTCAAGAGTCTTTCAATATTTAATGACCTAATCTATTATAATACTATGATTAGAGTGTCTTGTTAGTATACTGTGATTTCCCCAGAGATTATCAGTCAATGAGCATTTGATCAGCCACAGCTCATGACAAAGATAAGGGAAAGAGAGGGTTAATCACCATTGATAAGTGCAGAAATAGTTTTATTTTCATGATACAAAAGAGTTTTTATATTCATAGAAAGATAACTTCTATGAGAGCTGGAGTGTCACTTCAATTCACTTCAGCACAAATTCAATCAATTTAAGCTTAGTGCGAGAAAATATATCAATACAACTGAGCTATCTGCCCCCTACTCACTGGTTCTGAAAGTAAAATTCCATTATTTTTTCCACTAGACTATTCAAGAATATTTCACTATATAGTGACCAGTGACACATAAATTAATTTACAATATATTTCTGACATATTATACGCTACGGATAAACTGTGTAGCCTCTTCTGTGTCTTTAAACTATTTGCATATGAAAAATAAATGGGAAATGTATTTACAGAACCTCAT